ATGTTTATAGCAGCAATGTCCACAATAGCCAAACTGTGGAAAGAGCCAAGATGCCCATCGACAGATGAATGGATAAAGAAGATGTGGTATATATATACAATGGAATATTATGCAGCCATCAAAAGGAATGAGATCTTGCCATTTGCAACGACGTGGATGGAACTGGAGGGTGTTATGCTGAGTGAAATAAGTCAATCAGAGAAAGACATGTATCACATGACCTCACTGATATGAGGAATTCTTAATCTCAGGAAACAAACTGAGTGTTACTGGAGTGGTTGGGGGTGGGAGGGAGGGGATGGCTGGGTGATAGACATTGGGGAGGGTATGTGCTACGGTGAGCGCTGTGAATTGTGCAAGACTGTTGAATCACAGATCTGTACTTCTGAAACAAATAACGCAACATATTTTAAGAAAAAAGGAAAAGAAGAAGATAACAGGAGAGGAAGAAAAGGGGAGTATGTCAGAGGGGGAGACGAACCATGAGAGATGATGGACTCTGAAAAACAAACTGAGGGTTCTAGAGGGTAGGGAGGTGGGGGGATGGGTTAGCCTGGTGATGGGTATTGAGGAGGGCACGTTCTGCATGGTGCACTGGGTGTTATGAACAAACAATGAATCATGGAACACTGCACCAAAAACTAATGATGTAATATATGGTGATTAATATAACAATAAAAAAATTAAAAAAAAAAGAAGGATGCTGAAGGGTTTTTAATAAAATGGGAAAATATCTAAAAGTATAAAGTGAAAAAGAGTTGGACATAAAATTATATAAATAATTGTATAAGTAATTACATAAATAATCTAATATATATTAAATAATAATATTAAAGTATGCATGAAGAAAACACTAAAATACCTAACAAAATGTTAATAGTGGTTCTCTTTGGGTAACAAAATAACTGGTGATTCTGTTTTTTTATAATGTCCAAGTTATCTACAAGTAATGTATAATACTTCTAAAATTTAAGAACAAAATTTAAAAGCCATCTAGGATTTTCATCGTTGACAAGATGAAAAAGATCTAACATGAGTAAAATTCTTACTCTCTTTTAGAGAGAATATATATTCACTGCATTCCACGTAGATCAAATTTTCCAGGTCTTTCTAGTAATTTGTGTTTTAATCAAGTTTCCAGATAAATCTAGTAGGGAAGAAGAGTGAGTTAGAATTTCAAGCTGCCTTGTTTGTAACAGGCTCAGTACCTTCTTATTTTCATTTCTCCAGTGGTGCCATGATTTAAAAAATTCAAGGCATTTATATTAATTAAATCAGTTATTTCTCAAGAAATCCGTTCATTTTGAATTGCACTAATTCAAATGGAATTGAGAAAGCACCTATAACGAATGGATCTTAACTGGTCCGATTTCCTTATGCTATTTTTTTGTAATTTGTAATCACTTTGACAAGTTTACAAAGCTTAAACTCTTAGGAAAGGAAATTTTAAAAGTTTTCCTGTGTGCTGGAGTTAAGCATGTCATTCACTGAAAGGTTCCATTAACCTGGAAAACCAACTAATTTGTTAATGTTGGAGTTCATGTGATAACACTCATTCAATCAAAATAGCCGAAACCGGTACTCGAAAGCACTGGAAGGCATAATTCCTGATTATTAGCTTTCCTTCTTTCTGGTCCCATTCTCCAGGGAGAGGGATGAGGAAGTCACCGAGAAGAAACCTATTAGATATGACTATAAAGAGAAAACGGCCAACCAGCTAACACCCCTGGACCTAGAGATGCACCTGACCGTTCAGCTTGGGCAGCATCAACACCTCACAAAGTGTTAGAATCTCTCAAAGTGCCCTCAGAACTCCTCAGTAAAAATCCTTTTGAGTGTCTGCTAGTCATATAGATCATATCAGTCTCATCTCTTAGTTACAAAAACCATTTGGCCAAAAAGTATAAAGTACAGATTCTTTCTTACCCACCTAGTTCATCAAACCTGAATCCAAATATCTTTTGGTCATTTAAAAAAAGCAAATCCCTGGTCTCCAAATGCTAAAAATATTCAAAAAAATCAATCGATAAAATAAAAATATTCAGAAAAAAATAGGCCACAGTCTCCAAAGCCAATAACTAAAACTTACAAAAGTGTTTTCAGCAACTGGAATAAATGTGTGGCTTCCTAAGAAGATCAGTTTACAAGGGAATCTTCAGTTGGATGTCTGAGGGCTTATTTGTTAAAAATAACAGTTTTCTTACTTTATATTACACCATAATTAAAAGCAGCCTCTCATCTTTGTTCCTTCCTTCTCTGGTCCCCTCCACCCTGCAGCTGCCCCAATCCTACTGCAGTTTTACCCCACACACACCCCCGCCCCGCCTCCGGTCATTGCTTCCAGCTCTCTGTGCAGACACCAATCTCAAAACCTTCTCCCCACCTCCGTCCTCACAAGAGTTAGGATTCATCACAAGGGTATCACATCCTAAGAAATGGAAAGGGTTTACAGTTTAATAGTGGCTACATGATATTTTAGACTACTAAAAAGAGAGGCCAGCATTAAGTGAATGCTTAATACATATTAGTAATTATTACTAGCTGTTATTTTTGTTCTCCTGTTTATCTCTGAATTTAGAATGGGGCACTTTTACCCCCAGGCTGTGTGTTTTTCATTACAATAGACAGACCTGAGTCCCTAAGACTAACACAACACCACCCTCTTCAGAAGCACAGGGAAAACCTAGCATCAGGGAGAAATGGGGGGAAAGCGTGGGCGGGGCCTCGCTCCCCAGTACCCCCTCCCCACCGCGCTCACCTTCACACTCATTGCTCTGCTCCCACGTGGCGGGTCGCCAGCGCCTCTGGTTGTACCCAGCACAACAGCGATCACACGTCCTCCCACAGGTGTGGTGCTGGCATTCACACCGAAACCTGGGCATGTGGCCAAGCACATCTCAGTTATTCAAAAGTTTTGATTAAGATCAGTTGTTCCTGTGTGAGAAACTGACAGTCATGGTGGTTACCCAAGGCACCATTCGTGGAGTAATTATGAGAACAAAGCACTTTGCATACATTATTAGTTCAAGTCTGCTTATTGTCTCTACCTTGTAGATGGTGACACTGAGATTCTGAGATACTAAAACACTTGCCAAAGGTCAAGTGATGATAAATGGAGAGCCAGACTTCAAACCTAAGTTTGTCTTGACTCCAAAGTTCCAGCTTTCTTCTCTACCACCTTCCAGAACAGGAAATGAACACAGGAGTAAGCAAGTGCCGAGTTTACTGGGAGGTGTTGAGTATCACATCTTCAGGAAGATCTGGAGCAGTCCCATGAGAAAGGTCTGCTCAGCTGTCTTTGCTCTCACCTGGGGTCATGCACAGAGATTCACCAAACCCAAGAGCCAGTCCCTAACAAGATCTCAGAGGACCCTGCTCCAGAAGGCTGCCCCAACTCTAACAAACAGCTCCTTGCAAGGCCAAAAACAGATTACTCAGCAAGGCAGAGGGGTAACAATCTAAAAATCTACCTGCAAAGAATTATACATCTGCACTAAAACCATTCCAGGGTATAATGAAATTGTTGCCACGGCACTGGATTAGAACTCCTAAACTCTTAGTTCTCACTCCTCTGTGCTTAAAAGAGGATTCAAAACAGTTGTCTAAGGCTGTGCCTGTGGAGATTCGCTCAACTCTTCTGGGGGGGTGGGGGGTGGCATATATTCAGTTACATCCCGGAGGGAAGGTACCATCCCTCTAGCAGCTCAGCTGCCTGTTACAGCAAAAGAACACAGATTTTACTGAGAACACAAAACAGCTGGTATCCAAATGGACTTTTGTCAGAGAGACAATTTCACCTCATTGCCAATAAAGTATATGCATAAGCTGAATTGAAAGAAGTATTTAGGGTATATTGCTTGAAGAACATATAGTCCAGCTACTCTCATAGAAAGATTAAAATTGAAAGCAGAAAAAAAGATGGGTACTAGTCTGAATTATATTGGTATCACCCACAAATAATTGCTTTTTCTGATTCTTTCTCAGCCTAGGCTGATGGTTGTTGATATAGAAAACTCATCCTTGCCTCTGCTGTAAGGATGTTATTGAAGAGGTTGCTGACTAGAGAATCCTCTTCATGATGATCACCCCACACCACTTCCAGAGAAATTTCTTATCTGATCCTAGTGTCAACATTCATGCTTCTCCTAAACAACGGATCACTTCTTAGATTATGATCATAGTGAGAAACTAGGCAGTTTCCCCTTTTGAGCTGACTGCTAGGAAGCTCAGAATTAAATTTGTGATCCACCCACATTTCCATGAACCAAGTCATCATGGTAGACATGCTTAATTCAAGCCCTCTTCTGCCTCTTCATGGGTTCTACTTGATTAACAACGAAATTTTCTGATTGCCAGGCTTTACATCACCTTAAATATGTTATAAGATTTCTTCCTTTGACCTTAGCCCAACAACTTCTTGCTAGATGTGTCTCCAAAGGCAAGAGAAACAAAAGCAAAAATGAACTATTGGGACCTCATCAAAATAAAAAGATTTTGCACAGCAAAGGAAACAGCCAACAAAACTAAAAGGCAACCTACAGAATGGGAGAAGATACTTGCAAATATCTTATCAGATAAAGGGCTAGTATCCAAAACCTATAAAGAATTTATCAAACTCAACACCCCAAAAAACAAAAAATCCAGTTATGAAATGGGCAGAAGACATGAACAGACATTTCTCCAAAGAAGACGTACAAATGGTCAACAGACACATGAAAAAATACTCAGTATCACTTGGCATCAGGGAAATACCTATCAAAAGCACAATGAGATACCACCTCACACTAGTCAGAATGGCTAAAATTAACAAGTCAGGAAACAACGGATGCTGGTGAGGCTGCGGAGAAAGGGGAACCCTCCTGCACTGTTGGTGGGAATGCAAGCTGGTGCAGCCACTCTGGAAAACAGTATGGAGGGTCCTCAGAAAGTCAAAAATAGAGCTACCCTACAATCCAGCTCTTGCACTACTGGGTATTTATCCAAAGGATTTGAACATAGTGAATCGAAGGGGCACATGCACCCCAATGTTTATAGCAGCAATGTCAACAATAGCCTAAATATGGAAAGAGCCCAGATGTCCATCAACGGATGAATGGATAAAGAAGATGTGGTGTGTATATATATATATATATATATATACATACACACACACACACACACACACACACACACACACACACACACACGCAGTGGAATATTACTCAGCCATCAAAAAGAATGAAATCTTGCCATTTACAATGAGGTGGATGGAACTAGAGGGCATTATGCTAAGCGAAATAAGTCAGTCAGAGAAAGACAAATACCATGTGGAATTTAAGAAACAAAACAGATCAACAGGGGAAGGGAAGGAAAAATAAAATAAGATGAAAATTGGGAGGGAGGCAAACCATAAGAAAGGCTGAACTCTAGAAAACAAACTGAGGGTTGACGGAGCAGAGGGGTAGGAGATGGAGTAACTGGGTGATGGGCACTAAGGAGGGCACTTGATGTAATGACCACTGGGTGTTATATGCAACTGATGAATCACTAAATTCTACCTCTGAAACTAATTTAAAAAACATTTTTAAAAGATTTTTTTCCTATTTGTGGGTGTGGATTTCCTCAGCATTTACATTAATAAGCCTGCTGGGCAGAAGCAAACCAGCAAGCAGTGGGAGACAAGGCTGTTGTGTTGGCATAAACTGAGGCAAGGGGAAACAGTTTGTCTACTCACCTTGGTTTCTCACTCTGTACTACCCAGGATAGAAGCCTTCCAGGTCTGCCAAGGTCAACAGGGCTTGGCAACCCTTCCAAGCAGGAAGCTCAGACCTTCTCCAAAGACTTCAACTCCTCTCCCACGTGGTGCCATTTTGTCTCAGGCTAAGGGATATTAGACCGACCTCTTTTCTCCCCTCTCTCTCCAACTCAGGACTTCTCTGATCTGACTGCCAATGTCTTGGGTCCCTACCCTCCAGGAGGCAATGGATTAATCATTAATAAACTAGTGCTTGCCAACTAAAGGCTAGTCAGGTGATGGATTTGTGTTGCTATCTCAGCACCGCCTGATCTCCGAGGAGGGCTGACAACATTCGGGATTGCTGCTGGTCAGGGACAGGGCTCCACACTACATAAGCTGGTAGCTGGCACCTGTGCCTGAGCATGAAGCCTAATAATGTACAAACCTCATCTGACTAAAAGTAAAACATCTCTGGTAAATGTTGCTCATGGGGAATCATAGACTCTAAACAAAACATTGAGAGAAAATTACTGCTATATCTCGCGTCCAGTCATTTCCAGCCACAATAGCATCCCTCTTGTGTTGCTAACATGAGTGTATACAGTTGCTGAACACTTACTAGTTAATATCCATGCATCTTATTGTATGTAAAATAGACCTCAATAAAAAACCAAAACGGGTACACCCATGTTCATAGCAGCATCCTTCACTATAACCAGTAACCTAAAAGTCCAACAACAGATGAATGGATAAGCAAAATATGGTATATGCATAAAAAAATATTATTCAGCCTTAAAAAAGAAGGAGATTCTGACACATGCTACAACATAGATGAACCTTGAGAACATTATGTTAGGTGAAAGAAACCAGTTGCAAAAAGACAAATATCGGGTGATTCCACTTATATGAAATACCTAGTCAATTTTTTTAAATTTTATTTTATTATGTTATGTTAGTCACCATACATTACATCATTAGTTTCTGATGTATAGAGTAGTCGAATTGATAGAGAAAAGAGGATGGTGGTTGCCAGGAGCTGGGGAAGGAAGGAGTGGGGAGCTGTTGTTTAACAGGAATAGAGTTTCAATTTTGCAAGATGAAATGAGTTCTGGAGATTGTTTGCACAACAGTGAGAATGTACTTAATCCTACTGAATTTAAACCACTACCACTTAAAGATGGTTAAGATAGTAAACTTTATATCATGTGTATTTTACCACAATGAAAAAAAATATTTGAAAATGTATACCCTCTGCTATCATTAGACCAGGAATAACAAACAAGTTTTTTTTTTCTCTTGCTAACTCTAATCAATTATTCATGGATGCCTGGGGCACTGTCTGGGGATGGGGGGTCGGGAGGATTTGGTGGCTTCATCCTAGATCATCCATAGAGCACTGTGATTGATTAGCCATGCCTGCTATGGGCTGGTTGGGGCATGTAGAAGCAAGTGCAGGGCCAGAGGAGGGGAGAAATATACACACCATTTTTTTGTTGACAATGAAACATTCCTATGGAGGGCAAGAACTTAGAAACATTTAATGGGATGCAAACATTTACTGAAACAATGAGACTTATTCACAGCAAGGCTAAAAAATGGGTACAGTGTACTCACAATTTTTCAGGATTGTTTGCATTGCATTCTTGGGCATGGCCATTGCAAACACATCGCCCACCAATGCTGATATCCTTTATGCTGTAATAATACTATATAACAGAAGACACAAGTGTCAGTTTTACTGAAGAGCAACAAACTTTGCTTTACTAATCTGTAACTCACATCTGTATTGACCCTCTTCCTTTTCATCCTGTATTCTTGAGCCTACCTTAACACAAAAGGGAGCAGCGTCTGGATGTAACTTCTCTTACAAAATAAATGCATTCCTCAACCAAATGTAATAGCATACTGCCAAATTTGTGCATTTTAAAAAAGTCAAATGCTTTAAATGCATGGAAGGAAATTGCCTTGGAAAACAGGCATGCCCTATAGCCTTTTGGGATAGGATTAAGTGATTCCCAGATTACTTTTTTTATGTAAGTCTGGGTTTCATAAGTCGAACATATCTATTTACCAAAAATAAATTTTTATATCAAATTTTGCCTACTACGTGCAGGCTCCAGGAAGGGAGAAAATATTTACAATGACAGAGCAAATACAGTGCCGAGACTGGCAGGGTCCACCAGCAGTTGTAGAAGCCTTGCTAACTCAAGGTTAATAAGGCCAAAGGCAGAGTTCAAGCTCCAAAGGGCCAGAGAGAGCAAGCTTCAGACTCAGCTGAGGAACAGCCCCTACACCAGGCCACAGCTATGGGAAACCAAGTCATCCACCAGGCACATCTCCAGTCCTCTGGAGACCTCCCCACTAGCAACGACAGGTGGCAGTGTCCACCAGCTCCCTTACTTCTCAGACTTGGCAGGGGAAGCGCAGAACCCAGAGAGAAATTTGGGGGGTGTAGAAGGATCTTTCTCATGAGGTCATGCTGCCAGTGATAATATCTGTCAGCGAGGAAGTCTTTGAACTGACAAGGACAAGAAGATTTTTGTATCTTGTTGTGGTTGCTGTTGCATCCGTCACCTTAAAGCACTCTAGTCCCTCAACGTAAGCGCTCTGTTCTGATTTCCACACTAAAAACTGTTAGAGTCTAAGCGTCCTGACAACATCTTACTTAGTCTGAAGACATTACCAACCCCTCTTGTTAAAGATTTTATTTATTTATTTATTTGAGAGAGAAAGAGAGTGAGCACGAGCAGGGGGGAGGGGCAGGCAGAGGGAGAGGCAGACTCCCCACTGAGCAGGGAGCCCAACATGGGGCTCGATCCCAGGACCCTGGGATCATGACCTGAGCTGAAGGTAGATGTTTAACCAACTGAGCCACCCAGCACCCAAGAACCCCTCTTGTTAATATGGATAAATTCAGTATTAGAGGACTTTGTATAACAAGTTAACCCTAGAAGCTCTCGTGCTGATCACCACAGAAGTTTCTCCCTGCGCATTTTATCAAGGACAGCAGTGGCAGAAAGAGAGAAAGAGCACTCAGACCTCATCCCAGCAGCACATGAGGGTGTGACAGGACAGCTAGTATGCTGTTCCTTCACTTAAAGAAGCCACCTAGATTGGGATGAGGGGTCTCCTGATTATATGTGAGATGAGCCCCATAAAAACGTACTTCATAGAGAAGACTACGTTCACCTAAGTGAAAAATATACATACATACAAGTACAAATCTTGTAAACTCCCCCCCAAAAAAAACAATGAAAGGAAAAAAAAAGATGGTGAGGTACATTTGTGGCAAGGCTCCAAAAATACCTGGGGAATGCCCAGTCTGGCTACAGTTTACCAGAAAGCCCAGCACTCCCCCGTAAATTTCATTCAAGGTAGTCACCACCTACAGTAGCTCAGAGAGAGCTGAAGGGGCAGAAAATGCAGAAGACAAGCCACCTACACCCAAGACGACTGGCCTTTCTGGAAAATGCTCAAAACTGTAGTAAAACCTGCTTTTCTCTTTGCCTTCCTCTTGCAGCTCTCTGATTCCACCTACAGAAGCCCAACTCTATAAGGTACACTGGGCATCTTCTATTCACCCTTCCAGGTCCACTCTCTAGGACCCCCTTTCTCTTTCTCTTTCTGACCTTTGCTCAGGGGCTGAACTTTATGGGCTGCAATAGGATCTCTTGCCCACTGGCTTCCCATTGGGTTTGGCCAAGTGGGAGTCACCAGCAGGAGATTAGAGGGTAGGAAAAGAGTGAGATTAAGACATTTATTCTGCTGGCTCCCCCCCTGCCCAGGAGACAGGATCTCCTGTCAGACTGTCCTGATACTGAGAGTGACAGATGTTCACCCAATGCAGTACACAGCGCTGGTGCTCCCCAATGCCTATGTGTCCTCCACTGTGGTGACATTACATTACCCAGCCTCCTGCACATAGGTGGGCCTACACCGCCAATTCCTGCCAATGGAGGTGACCTGTGTGGTCAGGAGCAGGCAGGTATTCTCTAGGCTCTCGTTCTTTCCTCATCTACTGACCATGTACAGGGGATACAGAGGAGACCTCTGAGGTCCTACAGGATGGCTGCACCTCTAGATAGAAAGAGCCTGGTCCCCTGAATGACCACACAGAACTGATCCCACCTGCTGACCCACACTGGACCACGACATGAGCAAGAAATCAACCTTTTATTTTGTTAAGCCTCTAAAACTTGGGGATTATTTGTTATAATAGCAGTAATATAATAACCCATCTTTGCCTTTCATCCTCTGAATATCATAATTTTTCTTCAACAAACTTCAAAATTACATCTAGTATTTCATACAAGAACAACTCCTATGCCTACACCCTTACTGGCCATAAAGATTACTTGAAAGGCAATTAGTTTGATAAGCAAAAATAAGTTTAAAAAGCTGCTCTGTAGGCATGTAAAAACATTACTCACCCGCCGAGTGACAGTTGGATCTCTCTGTGCTTTGGAGATGAGGTGTCCAAGAAGGGTATTGGTTCGGAGAAAACATAGGCGGATGTTTGTAGCTTTGGTGAACTCCCTCAGGGTGTGAGAGAAAGTAAAATTTTTTGCACCTGGTCGACCATTTATCAAGGACACTACAACCTAAAATAACCACACAACACACACAGGAGAAAAAAGTCCCTTCATGAAAATATAGCCAAAAGTAACTAAAAATAACTTACATGCCCCAAAGCGCTTGGTTTCTTTGAGCCATTAGATGTTTGTAGGTGGTCTTGGATCTTGTTTATGTCTAAAAATATCATTGCTAGTTCTGCCTTCCCTTCTTGTTCCTAGTTCCAAATTCTGGCAATCTCTCCGTAAGACCTGGGCTCTCCAAAAATGTTATCATTTCGTTTTCAAACCCTTTGTTCTATCAGTGTGGTTATGGTGTTGTAATACTATGAAATGTTGAAAATATAATGTTAAAATCTATAAACAGAAGAAGGGCGCCTGGGTGGCTCAGTCGTTAAGCGTCTGCCTTCGGCTCAGGTCATGATCCCAGAGTCCTGGGATCGAGCCCCACATCGGGCTCCCTGCTCGGGGGGAAGCCTGCTTCTCCCTCTCCCACTCCCCCTGCTTGTGTTCCCTCTCTCGCTGTGTCTCTCTCTGTCAAATAAATAAAATATTTAAAAAAAAGAAAACAACTTTTGGTTACATCAAAGGAACAAAGCTAAAGTTATCTAAAAACCTAAATGAGGCTGAAGAAAAGAAGTCTCTGGATAGAGCTGACTGTGGAGAGGACAAAAAAAGATCTATACAAAAGCCAGGTTTTAATGCTTTAAGTGATGAAGTCCACGTGACAACAATTAGAGACACTCATCAATCACTGAAAGGTACTGGATAGAGCTGCTCAAGAAAGTTCTCTCCACCTAAAACAGGGAGACTGACACCCTTAAAGAAGGTCATTTGAAACTCACTTCATGCTCATGATGGCCTCACAACTTCCATCGAATTCTTCTCCGATTTTCCCCATTCTGTTTTCCCATGTTCCAAAACCACAGCCTACCTGATTGTACCAGGACCAAATGCAAGCCCAAAGGGACAGCCATTCTTTCCTCCCTTACAGATGATGCCCACCCTGCCCAGAGGGACCAGGGATTTGTGCTATCACCTTACCCCTCATCTCCTCACCCTTATGGGGGATATGTATTTGTGAAGCAGTGAGAGGAATCCTCACTTCAATCACCAGCAGCCCACATTCTAAGCATTCCACCAGAAAAGACAGTTCAAGACCTGTGGGCCTTGAATCCAGAATCCTGACTTCCAGAAAAGAAGTTGAGACCTCAAATAGAATTTCTGATGTCAATTATGCCTCAATTTAAAAAAAATTAAATAAATAAAAATTAATTAATTAAAAATTTAAAAGAATTTCCAACCCAACTCGTTCTGGGAGTCTTCGATGTGATTCCCTCACTAGTTAGTTCCAAGTTCTGGTTTCTATTGTGATCTATCTTAGATCTTGAAAGTGCAAGTTTCACAATTATGCAAAATTTTATATCCTCGTGTTGATTTCTGAGTCTCATCTCTCCCTTCCCCCCACATCAGCTTACCTCACCATTTTCCAAAGGTACAATCCGGGAATATTCAGTAGTACAAAGTACATCGTCATCTCGGGTGATAGCCATATTTGCCTCCTGCCCAAATCGCTCCAAACAATCTATTTTAGAGTCTAGGAAGAAAACATTTTAATACTATAAAGTAAAATATTATCATCTCGTTATAAATCTTTTAAGGAACCTTATGTTTCCTTAAGGAAATACATCAGAAGGAAAGAACAGAGATGCATTTAAGATTTTTAGACAAAAGCTAAGAATAAAGTTTTAATTCATGAAAGAAAATATCAAGCCATTTTAGGCCACTTACTTTCAATAGCAATGTTTGGAGATGTGGTTCTAACTCCTCACCCCTCATTAGGCAAATTTACCCTCTAAGGAGCATTTATGGAAAGCCCAGTGCCTTTGTAAGCAAAACTCCCATCACCTCAATTCATCATAGGGTTCAGAGACACCGACATTCTTCATTAGTTGAAGATGACAGGGTCAAGGTAAATAATGTGAAATGCAGGATCCATAAAGATGGAACTTAGTCTCTAATTCTAAATAAAAGGAAAAGGACTGGAGCTATGGCCCAGTTACAGGTACCCCGCTTCTTCCTAAATAGTGGCAAAAACTGTTAACATAAAAGGCATTTCAACTTCAGTTCTGCATGTGTATCCTTGGAATTAACGCACACATGCTTGAGAAATAGGGATGTTCGAGAGTAACCTAGAGAGTTAAAATTGGCCAGCCCTTAATTAGCCAAACTGAGAGACTAATTTTCCAGTTAAACCCAGTGTTGATCTGTTGCAAATAATTAAAGCCCTGCATAACATGGTAAGCAAGATTACTTACGAGCAAAATATTGCCAAGGTGAGTAGGTGCTTCCAAAGTCTACAGATCTTTCTAAGACCCAAAGATCAGGGCGAGGAGAATTTGCAAATTTGATGATAAGATAGGCCACATGGAAAAGCTGTTAAAGCAAAGGAGATACAGTTATTAAAGTCACCTCGTCTATCTGCAACCTTGACCATCTTTACATGATGCTGATCCGAAGGCACTATCCACCCCTCTCCCAAGATCCAGATTCTATTTCTAACTGCCTATTGGACAACTCTCTCTGGGTGCACACTCTCAAGCCTACCATGTTCAAAACCAAATAATCACTTTTCTTTCTCCTCCAGATCTACTCATTAACCTTTGTCACATCTTAATCATTATACCCTTGATTTTTAACCAACCTACAGAGCATCTTAAAGTCTGTACCTTTGAGAAATCTGATTTTGAGCAACAAGCATCATGCGCTAAACCTTCCCAGGACCAAGAGCCAAGAGTGTGTCCCGGGAGTGTCATGACCTTTGGTTGGTTCCAGGTCTTAGAGAGCTCACAGCTGCAGAACTGAGAGCAGAGCAGCTATTTGGTAGCGTGATAGCACCTCCTTCCCCTGCACCATCTCCACTGTCTCCTTTTATCCTGATTATTCTCCCTTTTTAATTTTCTCGTTCATCCTGATCACTCTTTTGCCCATGGCCAAGACAGTACGGAAGTATGGAAGAGACAAGTGGAGATTTTGTTCCTTTCTTTACCTCCCACTCATGAATCCCAGCATGTCTCCCACAGTGGGCCCCAGGAGCTCCTACCCCTTCCCCCAAAACTTATCTGGCTTGGATTTTGAACCCCGAGAGTCTATATATTTCCCAACGATCCTGGTATGACAACAAATACAGGTGTTAAATGTGTTAATGTGTTAATGAGTGAGGATTATCTGTACCCCCACATTCTCTCCACCTCCCACATTCCCTGACCCCAAGTAACAGATCCAACGGTGACTTTCAGAAGAGGACTCCCCCACCTTATTAACTAGCCCAGTAGAGCCATTTGGACGATGAGCGCATCCAGTTAGGGACAGAGGCAGTACTCAGATTCTGTGAGATCCTTTCATTTCTTGGGGAAAAAATAAGGGAGTTTCCTCTTCATATTTTTTACATACCATAATATGGTAAGAGTCATATATTTAAAAAAATAAATTCTGAGAACTAGTAGCTGCTTGTAAATGTTCCAAACCTGGTACTAGAAGCCAAAATCTCTGGGACAATGATTCTCCAATCTTAAGTCTTAGGACCCCTTCACACTTGTAATAGTCATTGAGAACCTCTAAAACCTTCTGTGTATGTGGATTATATCTGTTGGTATGTGTCTATATTAAATATAAAAGTTGAGAAAATTTAAAAATATGTATCACTAATTCACTTAAAATAATAATAAACCCACATGTTTAAACATAAACATCACATTTTTGTGAAAAATTACTGTATTTTCCAAAACTTAAAAATTGTACAGAGAATAGTGGCTTTACATCTTTAAAGTTTCTTTAAAAGTGTGCATTGATAGAGACAGCTGGATTCTCCTATCTGCTTCTGCATTTAATTTGTTGTGACATATTGTTTTGGTTGAAGTATTTAAAGAAAATCTGGCATCACATAGATCTGTTATGGGGAAAAGGAGGATCTCAACGCTTGTGGACGTCCTGAAAGGTCTTGGGGACCTCAATGGGTTCTCAACCACACTTTGAGAACCAGTACTCTTGGCCACAAAGGTTCCTCTTTGCTCTAAGAAGCCCCTTGGCTTATTCTCTGCAGAAGGACGAATTGTCACACCAATTACTGAAAAAGTTCAGCCAGTTCTATCCCAGTCAAACACTGGCTCTTTGATCTTGAAAAAAAAAACCTCTCCCTGGGTTCAGATTAATGTTCCCAGATTGTTTACCAATCCTTGGAAAAAATGATCCAACCTCATGGAGAACAACTAATTAGGAATTGTAAGGTAGTCTAAAAACCATAAGGCAATACCTAAAGGTAGGAGAAATAATTTCCAAAAGACACATACCATTATCACATAGTGAAGGAACTCAAAGGAAATCCCAGAACTCCAAATTTGGAAAAATCAGAACAAATGTATTTCCCTGAAAACTGTTTGCATATCTGTCTTAGACCGCATCAAAGTAAGGCCACCTTTAGATATGAGTAAGATAGAACACAAAGGAAACATTTTTGGATACAGGAATCGTTCAAAGCAGTCTTAACCTCTTCCATCAAAATTCTACAATCATAGCATACACACACCCCAAAAAACCTATTTACCTAATAGTTTATGATTTAGGGGCGCCTGGGTGGCTCAGCTGGTTAAGCGACTGCCTTCGGCTCAGGTCATGATCCTGGAGTCCCGGGATCGAGTCCCCCATCGGGCTGCCTGCTCAGCAGGGAGTTTGCTTCTCCCTCTGACCCTCCCCCCTCTCATGTGCTCTCTCTCTCTCATTCTTGCTCTCTTAATAAATAAATAAATAAATAAATAATAAAACCTTTTAAAAAATAGTTTAGGATCTAATGGTTACTATGTTCTAGGTACTGTTAGACAAGTCACAAACATTCTCTCTCAAGAGGTTAATTAACATGTCCAAGTATTCTAGGCATAAAAATCCTGAGCCTGTGTGTATTCTACTCGCTGATCATTAGCTAGGCCACAGAACCTACGAGATACTTGATATTTGACCTGTTTTATCCCAGGGGAAATAAATTGTCAGAAAACCTCCAAACACCATTATTTCTAAATATACTATGATTGCATTACAGGGAGCCTGGAGATGGGGAGCTATATTATAGTACATCTTGAGGATTATTTGAGTGCATTGATTTTCCAAAGTTACACTTTCTGCTACTGAAAAATCCAAATACATGAAATAGCCTCGGTGGCTCAGAAGGGATACTCTTTTTGTTTCACTTCATCCTGTTCCAAGGTAATATGTGATTCTTTTGAGGCAGGCACAGCAGTTAAAAATTCCAACTCTAGGAACAGGTGCAGACAGGCCTGTGTGCCTCCCTCCCCACCACTTATGTGAGCCTGCCACCCGGTCTAATTTAATAAGCCCACTGATTCCACCAACTCATCTTCCAGGGCTCCTTGGGATGGGACATTCCAGCAAAATGCTTCCCTCCTTTTCGTCATTTGTTTCTGATGTTCCTCAACACACATCTGAGTGCCCTGACTATTGCTAGGGTGCACTTCCTTTCTTCTGACTCCAGACCCTATGGATTCTCCATCACCACCACTGCTATGTAACTTGCAGCCGATTCTTGCCAAGTACTCCAGCTGAGACCTGCAGATTCAAAATGTTGCTGCAGGGCAGAGTGAGTGGTCCCCAAAGTGGATTTGCAGCCTGGCTCATGCAAGTCAAACCAATAGGTATGAATTTATTCTTTTCTACTTGATCATTTAAAATTATGCACCTTTTAAATGGCTCCTTCTATTAAACTCCCATTATCAGTTATTTGTTTGCTTTTTGATCACTCAAAATTCTTCAAAGCACTCATGAATGACGCATGAGATTCACCAATCTAAACGAGGGCCCTTCAGGAGGCTAGAAAGTGCCAGACTATGGAATCACTAGAAGCAGAAAAGCAAAGGCAGAGTTGTGCATTTTCAGAAGAATAACATTTGGGAATCAAAGATAAGGAGGAAGAAATGCCCAGGAAGGACTGAGTTGTCATCTTCTCTCCACGTGCTTTTGGACTGAGCCGAAGATGGCTTGAACTTTGTTCATGATCAATCAGGTAGAAATACAAAGTAATCTTTCAAATAATGTTTTAAGAAGCAGATAATAATCATAATAGGTGGAGTGTGAGGCCCTCTGACTTCAAAAGCCTTCAAGGTGAGCAGGTGAGATGAGATGGCATCAGGTGACCCGGGCTTCTCTGCCAAGGCTCACCATTCTGAAACCTCTGAGATTCCAGCCCATCATTTCAGGGCTTTCCCAGATGGCATAGTATGTGTTCAGTAAATGTCATGGATGGATGGATGGACGGACGGACGGACAGACGGACGGACAGATGGATGGATGGATGGATGGATGGACAGATGGATGGATGAATGGATGGACGGATGAGTGGATGGATGAATATTAAAGTTGTGCAGTTGCCTCCAAGTTCAGGAGGCAGAGATGAACCCCCAAGTCGTCCTGTCTGGTGCCCAGGCTTGGTGGGGCACTTTTAAGGCTGTAGGAGAACCAATCCCCTGTAGTAAATCCTTGCCCTGCCACCCACCAGGCATGTGACTCTAAGTGTCTCACTGAACCACTTCGATATTATTTCCTTGCCCACAACATAAAATGATCATAAAAATTATTTGTTACGTAAATACAAAGTTTATATTCTCCATCTCAAAGAGTACCTATCATGCTCTGTGGCACATATTCATTTTCATCTGTCGTTCCCACATTTGTATCTTAATCACTCCTGTATCCTCAGAGTAGGAGCTTAATAAATGTTGTTGAATTGAAATGAAATTAATAAATGGAACACATGAAATTGCAAAATGTTATGCAAATGTATTTAAAGTCATATCCAGAATAAGCTTCTCACTCAACTAAATAATATACCCTCCACCAAAAAGTCTTAACTTCATGATGTGAGATTAGTCTGCTTTATAATTTGATAAACATATCGTTCCACAAAGTGGCATTTTCTAATTTACTTTTTCCAACATTTTATTTTGCATCATTTTCAAACCTACAGGAGAGCTCAAACAGCAGTATGATGAATATCCATATACCTTTCATTAGATTCACCAAACATTAACATTTTGCCACATTTGTGCACTCTCTCATGCATGCTCTCTCTGCTCGCACATGCACACGCACGCACACACACACACACCTTTTTTTTTGAGTTTTTGAAAGTAAGTTTCAGACATCATTATGCTTCAACTCTGAATATTTCAGCAGGTATATCCCAAGAACATGGGCTTTTCTACAGAAACCCAACATTTTGATGCTTAAGAAATTTTACCATTTGTACAAAAATATTATCTAACACACCGTCCATATTCAAATTTCCTTGATTCTCCTAATAATGCCCATTGGGTTCCAATCCAAGATTACATGGACCATTTACTTGTCAAGTTACGAGTCTCCTATAACCT